ATCACAAGCGACGGGTTCGACGAGGACGGTGACCGGTGCTTGTGGTACCTAAAAGCACCAATGGAGAATGAGGCTACAGTGTATATTAATATTGACAGTCACAATAAACGTCTTCTGCTCTATGTAAAATGCTGTTCGAAAATTTCATATCGCACCAAATAAATTTGGAATACTGGCACAGTTTTGGTAAAACATACGTTGATTTAAAACATCGACCAAATTTAATCGGTTAAATAACTTTTGCACCTACGCGAGGTAATGGTCTGAAGCCGGCTGTACATTCAATAATAATAATCATTTAGTTTGGATATTCGCGTTGATGTCAGTTGAATTTGAGATTGAAATTGCTTGTGTTTATGAAAGAGACATGTTATAGAAGTATCTATGTTATATGTCACTGATTCGGTGGTGTTAGAGCCCCTGATTTTTGCGCCGAGGATCGTAGGTTCGGTTCCCACACCGGGAAAACTTTGTTTGGTGCGCAGATTTGTTTGCTCTAGGTTTGGGTGTTTATTACCTACATAATATGTGTATTATTATGTTTGAACGTTTATAAGTAGGTTTGGCAAACTCTGGTACCCATAGCACAGGGAATCCTATATTGGGGCCGGATGGTCGTCCTTGATTTGTTCCCAATTATAATATTATTATTATACATTATCACACAATTCAAAGTGAGTTGCTCGCTCCGGGCATTTCAATATTGCAATAATTGTTACGTTATAATATCTCCTGTAAAAATGAATATTTAAAAAAAACTAATTTAAAAAAAAAAGACATGCCCGCTGAGTTTCTTACCAGTTTTTCTCAGAACGGAGGCTAGTTTTTGTAAATTGGCGGTAGTTCTTTTTGATGTTCAACAAGTGTGTACTTTCATTTATGTTGAATTTTTTTGTTTTGTTTTGGTTTGATTTGATTTGATTTGAAACGAAAAGAGGCAGTTTTTTACAAGGTTCCAAAATGCGCTATCATCAGTATTGACGATAAAAAAAACAAATAAAATATGAAGTTGAAACCTTTCAAACGTGCGATGACTTGCATCAGCTGTGCTTGAATCTATTATTTAATTTTTACGTCCGAATTCCGGAATCCTTAACAAGAGTATAGACATTATATGAGCATCGCGCACCGCCCCAGGCCTTCGAGCATCTGAAACAATTTCCACAAAACCTAACTGAAATTATTCTCAACTTTGTAATTCGGATAATGGAAATGCTCTTTCGTGCAGACGTTTCGCGTTGATTTTTTTTTTTCTGGAATATTCGTAATTAAATCTTTTGATAGAGATGAGTATTTGTTGTTTCCTGCTCTAGATATTTCGACTGTACAACTACATTATTTGCACAGCAGGTGATTGATTTTTTATTTTTATTACTTAGATGGGTGGACGAGCTCACAGCCCACCTGGTGTTAAGTGGTTAACTGGAGCCCATATACATCTACGACGTAAATGCGCCACCCACCTTGAGATATAAGTTTTATGGTCTCAAGTAGTTACAACGGCTCCCCCACTCACTCTTCTAACCGAAACTCATTACTGCTTTGCGGCAGAAATAAGTGGGGTGGTGGTACCTATCCGCGCGGACTCACAAGAGGTCCTACCACCAGTAATTATAATAATAATAATATAATAATAGGGCCCTTTATTCGGAAAACAGATATACAATTAAGTTTCATAAATTACTGCACTTATACTGATATATGTTATATAAATGTATTTTAGATAATTAAAATTAGTGTATTTGGTGCTTGTTTACTCTCTGTAAGTCCGTTTGCCAGTTGGCAAAGGCCTCCTCTAACCTACTCCATTCTGATCTCTCTCTGGCTACTCTACTCCATGTTATGCCCGCAACCTGCCTGATATCATCATCCCATCTTTTTTGTTGCCTGCCTCTTTTCCAGTAATTACGCAAGTTATAATTTTGCGGATTTGATTTTTATTACACGATGTTATTCCTTCACCGTGTAAGTCAATCGTGAACATTTGTTAAGTACGTATTTCATTAGAAAAATTGGTACCCGCCTGCGGGATTCGAACACCGGTGCATCGCTACATACGAATGCACCGGACGTCTTATCCTTTAGGCCACGACGACTTCAAATTCGTAATTAAATCTTTTGATAGAGATATATTTGTTGTTTCCTGCTCTACATATTACGTGTTTACAACTACATTATTTGTACAGCGGGTGATTGATTTGCGACTTGTGTAAATTCCTACCAACTTTTTTATAATCTTTAACGAATTTTCGATAAACATGATGTTAAGTAGCCAATAACAATCAATATGAATGTCATCTACTTTAAGATATGAAGTCGATGTTGACGAATTGAATTTACTAGAGGTCCCGCAGTAGTCGAAATTCGACTATAATTAATTGGAATTGTAAGTTTGTACACTATTATGATTGTATTTTATACTTGTATAATCACAAATTTCGCCAAGACTACATTATAAATAATATTGACAAAGACAAACAATATTTAATCTAGGTATTCTCAATTTGACAACAGACGTCAAGAACAAAAGTTTCACAATAAATAGTGTGCATGCGTGTGTGCGTCAAATACATGGTGTGTAGTGTGTGTAATGTTTTTTTTATTGATTTAGTGTATCTTTTATGCATTATTTAAAAAAAAATTAGCATTGTGCACTTTTTCTCTATATTCTCTATAAGTGTGGAAAATTTCATGCTCCTCCGTCCGCGCAATTTTCGTAAAAAGGGATACAAAGTTTTTGCTTCACGTATTAATAAAATATATCGATGTTCACGTGTTTTTTTTTTATTAACGTCTCCGCTCAACCCTAACGATATTAAAGCTATTTACTAATTATAATAATGTATTTGTATATTAAGCTTTATGCGCAGTTATGTACATTGAGAATAAAATATACAAGCAAATCGTTTTGCCAGTACGACCAGAGATCACACAAGACGCAGCACTAATGACAAGTTTTGGTCCACCTGTCACTACTGGGACGTATTATAAGCCTTCTTACTCGTTTGCACTCTTGGCACTCTTGGCAGTGTACTCGTGGTCATCATTTCGGGTGGTGGTGCGCTTCACCAGACGCCGCCATTCCTTGCGTACCGCCATTATTATTATTATTATTATCATTATTCGGTCCATGTTATTTGTTTGAGCGTTGATTCTGGCACTTATATAATTACTCACATTGACTTTATAGGAAGATCTGCAAATTAATTGGCATAACTATACCTTGGACTTACCATACGGTGTTTGGCACCATTTGCATTGCACACACAGCATTTAGAATATTATGTATATTAGTCTTAATTATTTTTTTGTTTATATGTGTGAAAGAGCTCTAGGTTTACCTGGTGTTTAGCAGAAATTAACAGGGTGGCACCTATAAGTGTGAGCTTACCAAAACCCTATAACACCATTTCCAAAAACTAACCCGATAATCAGCGAACATGTCACCTGAATTCGAAATACGCAGATTAGACTATCTTATACTTTCACATTCAGCCGAAGATATTTTGATAGAAGCACATAATTCACGGGCAGCAGTTAATGTGGGCCTGACAGGGTCTGAACCCTCGACCGGAGGGCCTCGCGTTCTGAATACGAAACAGGGGTTTTAGCTAATGCGGACCAATTTATGATTACCATACGATGAGGTGTTAGGTTTTGCGATCCCATATTGACACCTCTCGTTTCGTCCCTTTAAGGTTTTGTGCGTACAACGTTCCTTTTGTGATAGTGAAATTCAATCGCGTTGGGATCAAAGGTTTTGTTATGTTCAGCTGTTACGAGCCGTCGGTTTACATTGCCCTTTACCCAAACGTCTCAGCAAGAGTTTCAATTCAATTTTTATTTTATTTTTTTATTGTCGTATAGGCAGATGAGCATACGGCCCATTTAATGGTGAGTGGACGGTGAGTGGGTGGTGGTACCTACCCGTGCGGACTCACAACAGGTCCTACCACCAGTTTATTCACTTCACCTACAGCAATATAACAAATAGGCCGATTTCGATTTTGCATACACAAATTATTAGCTGAACATGAACGTATCCTTGGATCCGTTTATTCTACAATCAGGTCAATACTGGATCTATCCTAATGGTGGGGATGTGAATGATGCCGTTATGGTCCACTGTGATATGTCGACTGGACACAGCTGCGTATATCCCAAGCCTATGCAGACCCAGGATATTTCGTACAATGGAGAAGAGAAAGAGCCATGCCTTAGTGTCCGTTGTCCATCGTCGCTCATGGATGTCTGCAATGCCACGAGCAGAACCAAGCCGCTGCCTACCGTTTAATTCTCGCCACAAGCCTCGTGTGAAGAAGGACAAGTCATAGCGCTCGGGAAACACCGTGGAGGGAAGCTCATTCCAAAGCCGGATGGTACGTGGCAAAAAAGATCTCTGGAAACGCACTGTGGATGAACGTAGTGGCTCCAGGTAGTATGGATGAACTCTACTCCGATGGCGGGCGGTGCGGTAAATTCAATTCAAATTATTTTTTGCCAGAGACATTATTATTGGAATTGTAAAATTTTAACATTCCAGCATGTTCTAACTTAAATAAAAAGTGTGAAAATATAAAATAAATATATTGAATTAATTGGAGATTGCTAAAGTGTCAATTTATAATAAAACATTCATAAATAATAGTCATAAAGACATTCTTCATAATACGTTAAAATCATAAAATGATAGATCTAATCAATTAAATATTATTATCATTTAATCAATGTTCAATGTTATACGACTGTAAGTTTCTTTATGTAGCTACCAACTACATTACGTATAGTAAGCAAATTATAAATACTGGTATCCCGAAACACAGGATGGAATTTTTAATCTGTTTTGGGACGTATAGAAATTCGATAGCAGAAAAATCTGAGAATTTCTTTTTGTAGCTTAGATGTTGGGACTAGCTCACGGCCTAACTGGTCTTAAGTGGTAACCGGAGCCCTTAGACATCTACAACGTAAATTCCGCCACCCAACTCGAGGCATAAGTTGTAAGGTACCAGTTTTAACAGTACAACGGGTGCCACACCCTTCAAACTGAAACGCATTACTTCTTTACCGTATAAATAGTGGTGGTACCTACCCGTGCGGATTCACAAGACGTTATACCACTAGTAATTACGCAAATTATAATTTTGCGGGTTTGATTTTTATTAAGCGATGTTATTCCTTCACCGTATAGATCGCGGCACATAAACGCGCGGGCTTTCGTCATCATTCTCCTGCCCTTCCCCCAGCCACCTGGGGTCGGCGCAACATGTTTTCTCCTTCCATACTCCTCTATCATATACCATTTCTTCGCGCACACCCCTCTTACACATATCGTCTCTCACGCAATCCATCCATTTCTTCTTAGGTCTATCTCTTCCTCTTTATAAAGCTTTATCTTAAGTCTCTAGGTGGGTTGTGGCACTCACGTGGCGATGATGTCTATGGGCTCCGATAGCCACTTGCCACCGAGTGGTCCGTGGGCCTTACTCGTCTACGCAATAAAAAAACTAAGTACCCATCATGGATGGATACAATGAGATCAGTCTTATTTTATAAGGAGTAAAGGCATGTTCATCAAGCTGAAACTTGCTTCGTGTCTGTCCACTCAAAGCCCAGGATTACTTTCCAAGCAGGCCCTTAGTATCATCCAATGCTGGTTTTAGATGTTCAATATTTAGTACGTTTTATTACTTACCTATTATGTCCATTATAGTGTGAACTATTAGTTTGTCTGTTAATAGTTACATTCCTTACACAATACTCACGAATCCAGTTTCCCCTCACAATATTCTTTCATCCTGTCAAACACGACAGAAGCTATTTGTAACTAACGTACTTTTGCGTTATTCGTTACGTTACGTAGAAAATTTACGTAACAAATGCTATATGTTTTGTGTAAAAAACACAAATAAAACGGTCTCGTTATGCAGGAGTGAACCAACAAGCACTTTGTTAATTTGATGAAATAAGAAAAAAGACAAACGGCGCGTCGTTAATAAAAATATTTTTATGAATCTTTGCTGCAAAAAATCGAAGTCGCATCCCTATTGTGTTAAAAAATTGTGTCAAATGATTATCAAGTGTTTTTATAGGCTACGTACCTATAAAAATACGTTTTTATAGGCAGGTAGATAGGACAAAGGCTTTATACCCAACTCACACCCATACAACTAAAATATTTTTATTGTAGCAATCGGCATGAATTCTTCTCCTAAGCACGCTTTGAGTTGCTTATGTGCTCAATATGTCTCAATATATATATATGGTGTATATATATGGGTATATATATGGTGCATAATATATTCAAAACTTCCTTTCTTCTTTCCTAAGAAATAATAGCACTGGCATCGGGGAACCAACATAGGGATGGCCCATTAAATTTTCTGTTTGAATTTATGCACGATTCATACATCGCCCGCCGCAGACATCGCTTTTGTTAAATGAACAATCTACTGTAACGAGGTATGAGTAGATAGATGTAAAGATAGAAAGTTCTTTTGTTGCATGTTGTTGTTGTATTTTTTTTTTTATTTTTTTTTATTATATAGTTGGGTGGACGAGCTTACCTGGTTTTAAGTAGTTACTGGAGCCCATAGACATCTACAACGTAAATGCCGCCACCCACCTTGAGATATGAGTTCTAAGATCTCAGTATAGTTACTATGGCTGCCCCACCCTTCAAACCGAAACGCATTACTGCTTCACGGCTGAAATAGGCACCTACCCGTGCAGACTTACAAGAGGTCCTACCACCACTGTCTTAGGGTTACTCGGCGGTACACGTGTCCGTGTTGTTGTTGTTGCATACAAGTATGTAACTTAGGTGCATTTGGGTTAACTTAACTGGCTCTAAGACCGTGATTATTTTTGCTGCCAAACAATAATGCGTTCTATTTGAAGAATTGAAAAGTCTTTACACTATATGCAATGTTTCAGACTTAAATTTCTCGTCTCGAGGCAGATGACTTCATTCACACGTATACATATTTTTTTAGTGTTGATCGAACTAGAAGTCCCGCAGTAGTCGAAATTCGACTATAATTAATTGGAATTGCAAGTTTGTACACTATTATGATTGTATTTTATACTTCTATAATCACAAATTTCGCCAAGGCTACACTATAAAAAATATTAATAAAACGAACAATATTTAATCTATTCTCAATTTGACCACAGACGTCAAGAACAAAAGTTTGACAATAAATAGTATGCATACGTGTGTGCGTCAAATACATGGTATGTAGTGTGTGTAATGTTTTCTTTATTGATTTAATGTATCTTTTATGCATTAATTTAAAAAAATATTAGCATTGTGCACTTCTTCTTTGTATTCTCTATAAGTGTGGAAAATTTCATACTCCTCCGTCCACGCAATTTTCGTAAAAAGGGATACTAAGTTTTTGCTTCACGTATTAATATATAGATACGATATGCCGGTGTTAAATTATATTATTTGCACATTGCAATAGAACGATTTCAAGAAGTTTTATTTGACATTACGACTGCAATAATAATTATAAGCGTAGGTCTGACTCGATCCACTTCGTTCTGCCTCAAACAAAGCTTCGTTATCAACATCAATCTCGTCTACAGTTGAACATTCTTTTCTCTCCAAACTTGCGTCAATCCATTATTTGGATCTCTTTATCCACCCAATCTCTTTATCCACCCAAACAAAACTTGATGTACCTCTTTTGGAAAAATAATATTTTTTAATTTTCATACTGTTTGAATCTTTTTTGCTTAACCTCGTCCTAACAGTATCATATCAACCGATGAGAATTGATGGATTTCGTTAAGGGCGGCAGAAAAATATGAATGCTATTTACGATTGTTCAATAAATCTTTGTTTTTTGTTTGAATTATTCTTCGGGACTTTCTTAAGTTATTTTTATGGTTTCGCAGATAATATCTCCTTTTGTTCAATTTTCTTTAATATTGAAATTAAATATTTTGCGTCTGTGGTAAGTATAAAATCATACCGCTACGCCGATGTTCAAATCCTAGAGCCAGGGATCAAATTTTCTGAATGAGTATGCTAAAATTCTTTCAGGATGAAAATATAGCGTCAGGTTTTAAAATGAAAATGGCTTATTAATCTGTCTCATCTTATTATTAAGGTATTTCAAGATAGTTGATGACATAATTGACTTAAAAACAAATTACTAGTTCTCTTACATCCCAAAGACAGGCATGTAATTTTACTTTTTTGTTCAATTTTCCGTCTAAATTAATGTCACTTTCATTACAATTAATCGCTTCCATTGTCTGGTATCTGAAATGGATTTCTAGACAATAATTGGGTTCATTAACCAACAGAATTCAAACTTGGTGTATTTTATTTGGATCCAAAGTAGATTTATTAAGATAGTTTTTCTTAAATTATCCTACATGCAAACACAACGCCTTCAATCAAAACGCAGACTCGTTTTTGCCATAATATAACTGCCGTTTCTTAAGGTATTCATTCCTTCCTTCTTTAAGCTAGGTTTGAAAACCGTTGTGCGCACAAATATAATCCGGAAATTCAAGGCTGATTTTTAGATCTACTCTCTAATATCCGGGAGTGGACCGGTATTGCCTCCGTCGAACAGCTGTTCCGGCTGGCTGCTGACAGAAATGAATACAGGAAGCTAACGGCCAACCTTCAGGATTAAAGAGGCACTGGAAGAAGAATACTAATAATGCGATATACATGCATACATAACAAAAACATTCCTCGCAACAGCAGAGAGGTAGGATAATACCAGGTTCATATTTACAAAACGACCTAGGTACCACTAGTAAATACGTAAATTTATTAATCTTGAGTACTCGAGAATATTCGAGAAGTTGGTAAATGCGTTCCGAAGCATTTCCTTAATTGAATTTTAAGTATGACCGAGCAGTTTCGTCGTAAGTTCCAACTCCAGAAAAAAAACATACTTTTACGTAAGTTTCGTAGAACAAATGCGAGATTACCAATAAATAAAGCAAATCCCGAAATATTTCTTAAGACTCTCATCCAATTTAACTTTTAAGGTATCCAGCGGAACGAGGCTTAGAACTTGTTCGGTAAAAGATGGGCTTCAACTTTGTCTGTAATAAGAATATAAAAGCATTTTGTGGATTGTATTTGCGTAAATGGTGATAAGGCAAAATGAGAGATCCTTAGGTAGGTAAAATCATCCAGAAGCATTATCATATTTCAACTGCGAAGCAATCGTGGATTCCTATTTAAAGGGTAAGGCAGCGGTTAAGCAACGCAGGTGGGATTTTGATCTCATATCTCATGGTTAGTGCTGGCATACTCGTTGTAATAGGTTCAGTGTGCACGTCCGCCTATCTCCTCCGTTACTCGTGCTAATAGCTTCTAAGCATCGTGAACGCCTTTATCTTTGACATAAGGACCATGGTGGTACGCTTGACATGTCTATTCAGAGACCTTCACAGTAGGTTGAGTCGTGAGTTGCGAGTGTAAGGATTTCTCTAAATTTAAACATCAGTAGGCAGCGGCTTGGCTGTGCCCTTGGCATTGCTGATGTCCCTGAGCGACAATAGTTACTTAATTAGGCGGGACGTATGCCTAAAGAGGCAAAAAAGACCTAAGACCTAATTCGAAGAATAAAATAGGAAAACTTAAATTTGAATTGGGAAGCATAAATGCTATGGTTCGAATGCATGGGATTTGGAACATTCTCCTCCAGAGCCTCGTCTCATAGGTGTAGATGGAACAAACAGGCATGGTTCGCCATTCCTCCAGCTTCGTCGGAGATACTGCAAAGGGTGATCTGATGTGGCTGCCAACCGTGTAAGTGTTAGAATAATAGCATACGTAGATTGAGGTCTTCTGTTAAAAAGCACTATTGCACTATTGCACTATTTATATATCAAATTATCTTAACGTTAATAAAAGTTAAAAAAATGATACATATAAGTATTATAATAAAAAAGCATTTTTATTTACATGTGGTTTTTACCGGTGGTAGGACCTCTTGTGAGTTCGCGCGCGTAGGTACCACCACCCTGCCT